TGGAATGAAGAAGATGGCGACGAGGAATTGAGAGAAACGCATAGTGAGCCCCTGCGTTTTATTAAATTAAGAGACAACACTCGAATGCGCATTCGGAATAGGCTCGCAGTTCTTCGCACTAGATACTTTACTATAAATAGTGACAAAGAAAGCTATTATTATAGCTTACTTGTATGCCATCTACCTTTTCGAGACGAACATAGCCTTTTACTAGATAATGAAACTGCAGAGGCTTGTTTTTTGAGACGGCAAACTGAATTACGGCCTTTGCAAGCTAATGTTAGTTCCGAAGAATTTGCTCATGCCGAGCAAATAATACAACAAGCATTAGCTCAAGCAACTGCGTTAAATGCTGCTAGACAAACGCTTGCCATTGACAATGAACGGTTACTGTGTGCAGATGAAGAAGTAATTATTAACATTAATGACAATTGCGACGACAATGGTGAAAGAGTAATGATGCCTAATGACGTATTCATCAATACTATACGTGGACTTAATATACAGCAACAAAATTTGTTCCAAAAGGTTTCTGTTGCGGTTGAAGCTGATTTAAATGGCGCCGAAGATCAATTACTGCTTTTTATAACGGGAGGTGCTGGCAGTGGCAAGTCATACTTGTTAAAATTACTTGTAGAGCACATCGTACGTTGTTACGCCCCGACTGTTGACCCTCTGCTTAAACCGAAATTTGTGGAAGTAGCATCATTAACAGGGGTCGCTGCCCGACAAATATTTGGTAAAACTCTGCATTCTGTATTTATGCTTCCTATTGAGAAGGGCAATACCATGACCTATAAACGTTTAAGTGGAAATAAGTTAGAACAAGAAAGACGTAGATGGCGCTATATCAATTGGCTCATAATTGATGAAATTTCAATGGTGTCGTATGAAAACTTGCGGATCATACATTTACGTTTGCAAGAATACAAAAACAATGATAGGTTATTTGGTGGAGTCAACCTACTACTGTTTGGTGATATATTGCAACTGCCCCCCGTCAAAGGAAACTGGTGCTTTTTACAGCCATCCTGGTTTGCAGCTGAAATTAATTTATGGCATCAATTTTCGTTTTGTGAACTGACAATAAACATGCGCCAGCAAAATGATGCCGAATTCATCGACTTGCTAAATAACTTGCGGGTAGGAGAATTAACTACGAGTCAACTTGAATTGCTATGTGAACGACGCAGAATACCTTTGACGGGGGAGTTTGCTGACGGAGTTGCTGTGCGAATCTTCCCAACCGTTAAACAAGTGGACGACTATAACGATTTAATGACTGCAGAAAATTCGAAGCTGCATAAAGTCTACACCATAACTGCTGTAGACGAGTCTCGTGAAGTCGCCACTTATGGAAAGACGCCACCACCCAACGTGATACCGAGGGATGTTAATAACTGTGGCGGTTTGTTATCAACGCTAAAGTTAGGGAAAGAATCTCGCGTCATGCTAAGACGAAATATATCGGTTTCGGATGGTCTTGTAAATGGCGCAATGGGTATAATTAAACAATTTAAGTGGCCTGCTCTTCGGAGAGACCAAATTGAAGAAGGGGAATTACCGGAAAGTGTGTTAATTAAATTTGATGATGAAACGATTGGAAATAGAATTAAAGATGAAAATGGCTGGGTACCGATCACTCCTAATGTTGCAACATT